CTGGGAGGGAGTTGTTCCATGATATTTTAACTGGAACCAATGCCAAAGTTGGGGTTGAAATATATGCTCTCCAATTTTTTGCTCGCCAACTTGGTTTTGGCCAAATTTGGCCTGTTCCTCCTTGTTATTCAAAAAAATTGATAGACCGCTTTCACACCATTAATAAGGTAGAGGCACAAGCTATAGATGCTCGTAATATTCTTTTGACGAGTAACTTTTCATTAGCCCCATTCAATCCTAGCCGTGCCGTTCACCCCCTTTTTGAACAACTCTGGCCATTAGTGAAATGCAGATTGTTTGTAATTGATGTCAATCGTGCTTTCCATTCACTGGATCAGCTGAACATTCCTTCCACTTTTCCTATTTTGGTCACCCCTGTGTCCATTAGGAATCCTTCCTCCCCTACTTGTGCTAAACAATCTGTTCGTCTCTTTACTTCTCTACCTGCCAAACCTACTGCTTCTAAGAGCGCCCCAAGCCGCAAACGGCCAGCTTCAGCATAGAGGATGATGATGATGATAATACTCCTCTCATTGTCAGGAGAAAGGTAATTGAATTGAATTCTGTTTCCTCACAAGCAAACCTTTGTATGTGCTAATGGTTTTCTTGAATTTCTCAGAAAAGTTCAGCCTCTCCTTTGAAGGCTTTGGTGTTGGCAACTCCTGCTCCATCATTCTCTGTTGGAGTTGCTTCGTCCAAACCAGCTGATGAAGGGATTATGCTTAAGAAGAAACCTTCAGTCCCGGAACCTTCATCACAATCAATGGATGAGCCACCTTCTTCCCAGGGCGCCGACCCCCCAAACGTCGAACCAAAAGGTAATACATTTTTGATGTTTTACCTTTGCTTGTGCTATTGGTTTCTGATTTGTTGCTTCTTTAATCATGCAGAGGCTCCCNAAAAAAAAGAAATTAGAAAATAAAAACCAATCATCTTCTTCCTGCCACCCCACTCCACCCCCACTCCCAACCCAAAATCAATTCCCGACCACCGCCATCTCCACATCGACTTCTATATCCATCCCTAACCTTAAAAATCTAGACCAAAATGTAACCCACATGCCACAGATCTATGGTTCAAAAAAATGGATTTTCTGTAGGTTACTTCCAATATTAAGGATGTATGGTAAAATCAATCGAATGTTTCACTTCCAATATTAGAGGAAACATTTGCCTCAATTTCCAAAACTTCCTTCTCGGGTTTGCATAATTTGGGTTTTGCCATTGGTTTCTCAATGTGTGTATTTCTTGATTTGAACTTATTTCGCGCGGGTAGTTGCCAACAATTAAAAAAGGATCAGACGATTGTGTAAGGAACAAACATCTTGAGACAAAGTCCCAAAAATGGTGTTTTATTGGCGATGACTTTACAATTGGAACTAAACAGAATGCCTCCAAGGGGCGTAAGCACACGAGTACTGAAAAGAAATGTTTAAATCTAAATTAAGAAATTGAAATTACACATTCTCTGTTTGAGAGTGTTTGATTCAG